GATATTAATGTTATTGATCCGGTTAGTGAAGCTTTTTATAAAAACATCTGGTATGATACTGCAGCTAAAAATACGGAGATTTATGAAGCGGTTTTCCATTGCATTCCATCCAATAAAGTTCGGACATTTGCGGAGTTAAAAAAGTATAAGGAACTTCAGCCGTTGTATGTCGATGAACCCGTCCAGGCGGAACAAATGCTCAATAGGATTCTGGGACATATTGTACTTCTTCCCTTGGATTTTATGTGTAACGAAGTATTAACTCCACCACCGGGTACCGTAGAAGGCATTATGCCCACAGCTCTATGGACTTGAATACAGTATTCACTAATTTTTATACGTTTACATCATTTTTTAATTTGTAATGTTTTAAATTATTTATTATGGTGTCTTGTTCTGTTTACTTCAAATTATATTTTTATACTGTTAATGGTTGAAATATAGTAATGATTCTTTAATTTTTTATTGCACTGCTCAACAATTAACTGTCATAGTTTTACTCGTGATTTTACGATACCGCACATGACTTCCTAGTCGCCGCTTCATCCAGTACAGCTTAGATGCGTTTCGCTCGCAGTGGCCGGCCGCCTTTAGTTTTTAAAGAGTGTGGAAGTGACCAAGAATCCCAAAGAAGCTTTGGAAGTTTCTAAGAGCTATTTCGACTCCTCCTTTAATACCTCCCCTTAGGTCCAGAGCACCTGGACAGAACTTTTTGCATGTAGTGTTACATGATTTGTGTAGCATTTTACTATCTTTCATTGTGTCTTGTGCCCATCCTTATAGGCTATGGAAGAAAGTGTCCATCAGCATCTGGATACTGCTTTATGCATTTGGTGTTGTATGGGTTGCATAGCATCAGGCAGATATTTCTCCGGCGCTCGTGATGCACACCAAAACCCCGCGTTCATCCTGTTAGATAACATATCATAAACGGCCTATTACTGTTTAATATGCTCCCTTGTGTTTACGGGCATCTGGACACCATTTAACACATATAGGGTTTGTATGGGTTATAATAGCATCAGGTGGATACCACTAGGGATCTTGCTGCATACTCAAACTCGTATGCTTATTGGAAGCTCCTCCACACTGAGCATTGGCAAACAACATTCTTTGAAAAAACGTTTAAGAGCAGGTACTAGAATAATATCCCATACAATTCATTTCATGTTCCTCTCTGGAGTTCACAATAAAACAGAAGAGATTCTAATTCTAAGAATTATAGTTATTTATTATATAAGACTATAAAGGAACATTTTAATCATTGAGCGAATTAACTTTCACGAGATAATAGGTTTCCCGCTATCGTCTCGTCATGTACCTATAATACAAAACTTTATTTTATAGTAGAAACCATGTAAATCATTGTAAAGCTTCTGACAATTGTGAATTTAATTTAGACGTCTAGCTTAAGTTCGGCCGTTGTGGTCGTTCCCCTAGAACCAGCATGTTCTGAACGTAATTTAATATCGTGCTCCACGTCCCATTTCAAATAAGAATGTCAGATGTTTCACTTTATCTACCCTTACTGTTAAAGAGACTGTTATATACCATTAAGAAATATCCAATAGAAACAACGTTATGGTTTCGTTGGTTAGCGACGCAGAATAAACATTGGCTATTTCTTAAGGGTCTAATCACAGATTAAATCGCCTATGATCTAATGATAGAATGTATAATCGTATAAACCCACCCTAAAATAGTACCTATCCCTAAATATTGGTGTTGCTTCCAGCTTCCTTGAGATATAAATTCTTCCTACGAGGCTGCTACCGTGAGAGAATTTGATGACTCGAATTAATCCGCGTCGAATTTTATTGAGGGGAAAATTAATGGGCTGAATATGCTGGAGGCGAATTCACCAGGTGACAAACTGAGTCTTGGAGCCCCAGGAAGAGACTATGCCTCGAACCACATCCGTTACGAAGGCGCCAAATTACGGTTAGCTGAGGGCTGCACTAAAGCTATCGTCAACACTGTAAGTACTTTGTTTTATCTGTACAAGCCTTTAAATAGAATTTGGATTTTAAATTAAACGTAGATCTCTCTCCGCCTCGGCCCTCCTACTAAGCCATCTTTGACATTGCTGGCACAAATGCATAGGGATTGACCTAAACACCGGATTGTCTCACATTGCATAATATACTCCTGGGTGCACAAATTAATTCCGCGCCAATAATTATTATGAAACATTCATTTTCATGCCTACTTTCTGTCAGGAATTTTAGTTTCCATGACAGAGGCAGACCAAACTACGTTTTCTGCGACTAATATACCGGGTGGTGCCTAGCGCTACGCAGCATAGGGATTTCAATGGTAATTTCTTTATTGTCAATTACTAGCTCCCCTAATTATTTTAGAGCAAAAGTCTAAATACGTTTTTTTTTAGAGAAAAAATACTGCATCTGTTCATACTATTAGGTACTTATAATTTTCCGTTTTTCAAAACCGTAGAAATCGACAAAATAAAAAGGTTCATTTTACAATAAATCAAATATGCCTTGGAATTACCTAAAAAAAACAGCGATCGCGTTTCATTACTTTGCCTTTGACGTACATTGAATTTATACTTGTTTATAAATTAGTTAAAGAACTGCAAGTGCAATAACGTTCAAAATGTCCGTCAAAACCATCAGGAAAACGACAATACATTCAACGTTTTGGCTGCAGTAGCGGAAAATCCGAATATAAGTTTAGGAACAAATCTTCTTCAAATCAGTTTTTTTTCTTCGATTACGTAGGTACTCTGATTCCGGACAATGATAAACAAATAGTATCTGATGCAGATGCAGCATACATTCTCTAAAAAAACATTACCCTAAGATGCCTTTTATTGCGTCGGTTAGTTGAAACAGAATTAAATATGAAAATCGTTCGACGTCAAACAACCATAACTTAGATGCGATGCGCTTGTAGTTTGTTAAAAGATTCCAAAGCATCACTGATTTATAAAAATGTAATTTTTTATTTTGTTGATTTCTACGGTTTTGAAAAATGGAAAATTATAACTAAAAGTATGAACAGATGCAGTATTTTTTTCTCTAAAAAAACGTATTTAGACTTTGCTCTAAAATAATTAGGGGAGCTAGTAATTGACTATAAAGAAATTACCATTGAATTGAAATCCCTGTGCTGCGTTGCGCTAGGCACCACCCTGTATAATGTGAGTATTATACTTATGGTTTGTTCGGTATAATGCAATCCATTATTCCCTTAGGGATTAATGACCAGGGATTAATAGCTCTTACACCTTCTTGTACTCCAATCGCAAAATTTCCTTAAATTTAATATCATCCATGGAAACAAAACGTCAAAAGTGTAAATGTCAAGCGGGTCGTGTATTGTTTGTGTATCTTTTTTTGTATTAAAATGGATAAAATCTCAAGCTATTAAATTAGTGGTAGGTAAAGTAGAGTATATTACTCGCAATAATGGCTATTATACTCTCGGAATTTTACTCCCTCGTCGGTTCAGGCCCAGTTCGTAAATATTCCTCGAGAATAATAGCTATCACTATTGACTCGTGATATATTCTACTAGTAGTTATTTACATAAACTAGGCCCATCAGGAAATTTTACCTTACCTGTCGCCTGTCACTTTACCGGCCGCATCTGTCACCAAACATCTTCAAAAGTGTTTGGGTAAAATTCCCTAATACAGAAGAATAAAAAATAATTTGTATATTAATAATTTTCTAGATAGATCGAAATTGACATTTGTTTTGGATACTAATTTAATGGGCTCCTTTTTCCTATCTAGAAAAATTTGGATTGGATTTGAGAAAGTTTAAGTTTTGGTCGTTTTTATAATGGGAAAATCGTCACTGAGGAGCGTTGCCACTTAACCCATTTTCTGACATTCGAACATCAGGTCAGATACACAAAAGATGGAACTTAATTATGGAAAATTCTCAATGCATGAAAGTTTTCCAATTAAAGTTTCAAGTCAAAAACCGAAATTTATTTTTGTCAAAAACTAGCTACTAATTTTAAAGTTCTAATGTAGGTACTTATTACTAAAATGTTTAGAATAAAATGCAGAATACCTACGTAGGACAGTCAAAATGGACTAATAAATCAACAAAACGTGATGTATCTTGTTTGGATCCATTTTTCATTCTTTAGCGTAACCCAAGTTTGCAATTCTTTAAACGTTATGGAAAAAGTGTACCACATGAAAAACGTCGAATATAGTTTTTGTGTCGATTTTGACTCGCCTAAACATTATATAAAAAAGAGTTTTCTATTCAAGATAACAAATATAGTGTGGTCTTCCGGTTTAAGCAAACTATCTGGAACGGTTTCCCAAAAGCGTCTAACTGACTCTTGTCATGAAAGGTCCTGTAACATAAAACGCCGAGAGATTTTTGAGCGGGTCAAAAGCGTAGTCTACCGGCGGCGGCCGGCGGGCAGTTGCATTGAAGAACTGCAATTCAAAATGTGATTTAAAAAAGTACTTGAACTAATCTTAAAAGTAAAAGAAAGAGCGCCAGTTCCGTTACCTACATTTCTTCATCCGTGCGCCTTAAATCTGCCCAATCGCAATCGCATCTTGGTACGATTTTGAAAATAATGCCTCGCGACATCTATGGAGTGCAAGGATAATGACGCCTTTTTTTTGTGCCGCGATTCATAATTTACAGCACTAAATTGTAAACAATGATCAGGTTGCGTATGATCGGAACAAAAACAAGGAAATGAGTTGCCAAGGATAACTTCGATTATTTTTGGGCGATCGACAGTTTCGTTTGTTTTAATTATAGTTTTGCTAGTAAGTAATAAAATTATTAATGAGCAATTGTAGTAGTTGGGGAAAATGAATAACAAACAACAAAATAAAACAATCGGTTCATTGAGTGCAACGGGAGTGCAAGCAGATGTCATTACCCGCGAGTGGGTAAGTAAATTATGTAATTGTTAAGCGGCCAATGAACGTCGCATGCACTCGCGACTCACGAGGGGGGGGTGACGTCATAGGTGAACTTGCGCCCCCCGCGCGACGGACGGCAGCGCGCGCCGCGAGGCGACGGCAAGCAAGCAGCCAGTGCGTTCTCAAAATGGCAGACGGTTTGTGTAGTGGAGATACAGTAAGTAATGTAAACGAAAAAACTATAGTGAAGGACTATGACAGCGTAATTGAATGTATGAATACCGGTCGCGTGAATGAAGTTAAATGTGAAAAAGTGAAATCTTTCTATATATCGAGTGACAGTGATAAGTTATTTGATAATTTGTGTGCTGTGAAGGGCTCCAAAGATGACAAGCATGAGGGATTTTTGGATACGGAGATGCCTTCTTCCGGCGAGGACGACTGTCGGAAGAAGAGATGTGCGGATCGCTACGACAGCTCCGAATCTTCAGACAGGTTAGAATTTGTTTGATTTTTAGACGATCGACGGCACGATTTTCAAATTCAACCCCCGTCCAACAATGGGGGGGCAAACTTCTTCGGATGCAGCTGCTAGACTGACGTTTTTAAACTTCGCGAATTTTTCAACACACGGTCATTGTCATGGCCTTTACCTTCACCGAATAAATACTAGCGCAAATCGAAACTGAAAGTGTACTCGTTTTTTTAAGCAAGTAAATCCTTGCGCGATTACTTCATACCTGTTTAAAAGTCAACGACACGTTTATTTTTTCGATTCAATGCACGCATTTTCGACTTTTGTGGCTATTTTTAGTGCCTTTTTATTAAATGTAAGCACATAGCACGTGTATCGAATTAAGCGATAGCGTCTTGAGATGGACGATCGTCAATCTGAATTTATTTACGTTTGATGCTATCGACGCCGATAACGTTATCGTCCGTTGAAGTCGGCAAAATCAAAATTTATTCAATTTTTTCCAATGGAAAGGATCTAGGCATAAGCGCATGGTAACTGCCATTTTGTTTCGGACTGCTCAAAACAAGCTCAAAACGACCGACGGCCGATATTTTTGGAAATGTCGAAAGGAAATCGGCCGTTTGTGTTTCAACAGTTTAATCAACTGTGAAGTAAAGTGGTTTATTTATAAATGACTAAACGAAATTGACAAAGGATTTTGATGCTTCTGGGAACTGCATTATACCTAATCCCTGCTTTGGTAAATGTTATGAGTAATAAAACTGCTAACGATAAGATAAACCAATCAAATAAACTAACAAAACTCTTTTTTTCCATTTAGACATATTAGGTAAATGTTTACAAGTGTGGAAGATACATTCTACGTTTCTTGTTAGGTAATTGTACCTGACGATAATGATACTGGGACCTCGATTTCTTATAATCCAACGTATTTTTGTAAATCTGGCTCAACAGACGTCTACGTGACCGAAAACAAGTTAATAATGGCTTAAGCTAGGGGTGGTATGCTAACATTGTATTATAGTCGCAAGATTGAATTCATTTGTGATTAAATGTCATACATTTTACCCTCTTTGTTCGGGGATGGAAAGAACTGGAAACATTTGTTACCTACCTGTAGGGTACTACTGTGGAGGTTTGAATATTAAACGGCGGAATGCTAGTTCTGGAATTTATGATATTTCCTAATGTACTTTCTGTTTTATACTTTACCCCGAGCACATTAAGGATTTAAGATTGTCTAATTAACACAATAGTCGTACAATTTACATTGTGAGCAAAATTTTAGACGGGGTGACCACTGTCAAAATTGTTTCACATTTTCATTACGCTTTAAATTATTATGACATTGGCAAATGTTTAAATTCTGTACCTACATATCTCGTTCCCTACCATTTTGTATACCTATATCATTTCAAATAGGTACCTATGCTAATTTATTTACTTGTAAATATTTCTCTATATTAAGAAAATGAACAAATGAGAATGGTGCACAGTGTAAACTAACGCTGAGTAAAAATAATTGAAATTACAACAGGATGTTCAGGAATTCCCGTCAAATTTTTCAATTTAAAAAATTCCAAAACCGACCGTCTTACCGCTTTTTTTACTTCACGAATGAAATTGTACGTTAGAAAATAGAGACTGCTTAACTTCATCTTTGGTTTTTTTGCTTACAAATTGAAATGAACCGAAAATTTGTACAGGGCGATTCCACTCATTTTCAATCGGCTTTGATGATCTATCAAGAAACCAATAATAATAAGGGCGGACGGATGCAATTGTCAGGAAATTTTATGAACTGAATATAGTCAAAGAATTTAATGGAAATGCCAGAATTCTCGCTTATCTGCGCTTAGGCGTCCAGAAAGTCCTTAATTAGCGGTTCTGTTCATGTATCCGTTTTGCTTGTGCATGCGTGTACTGGCCTGCTGGAGCTGCGTGGTGCTCATGGGATCAAACATTGCTATATTATGAAGAAATTGGAAACTCGAGGATCGAGGACAAAAAATCAAAAGTGTAGAAGAAGAGATCAGGCGCTGTGAGAAATAGTGCAAGAAAAACTGCAAATTTATGACCGCGATAAGTCACGCTCCGCTCCTAGGTTATCAGTTGTGAAATAAATACATTAAACATAGAAAATATTTGAGGGTGTTTCGCAATTTTTCGCAACTTAAACAAAATTGAATTATTCAAATTATAACACGATGGCTACGTCTAGTTTTTTTTTTAAATTGCAGCTGATAATTAAAACTTTTGATTGAGAAGTCCGATCGAAAATGTACGAATTGTTTTAGATTCTACGCACCAAAATTAATAAGAAAAAGTGTTTTCCCGAGAAATTTTGGTGCAGTCAATTTTTGGTAAAAAAGGAAGGTTATACACTGCCTTTTTTTGAGCCCCGAAAAAAAATTGTCTCAGATCGACCCGGAAAAAATTTTCATATAGAATGTGGCATGTAGAATCCATAATTTCAAACAGTTCCAAGATTCAAAAGTTACACCCCTTTGAATTTTCTATCGAAATTGGTTTCTAGTCTATAACTTTTGATTGAGAAGTCTGATCGAAAAAGTACGAATTGTTTTGGATTCTACGCGCCAAAATTAATAAGAAAAAGTGTTTTCCTGAGAAATTTTGGTGCAGTCGATTTTTGTAAAAAAGGAAGGTTATACACTGCCTTTTTTTGAGCCCCGAAAAAAAAATTGTCTCAGATCGACCCGAAAAAAAAATTTTCTTATAGAATGTGGCCTGTAGAATCCATAATTTCAAACAGTTCCAAGATTGGGCTACTAGTTCAAAAGTTACAGCCCTTTGAATTTTCTTTCGAAATTGGTTTCTAGTCTATAACTTTTGATTGAGAAGTCTGCTCGAACAAGTACGAATTGTTTTGGATTCTGTTGGTGGAACCCCCAAAGCAGAATGAGAGGCAGAATGTTTTTAAGGTTTCAACAATAATGCCCTCAAACTTTCTCCAAGCAAGTACGCCAGAATGGTGCCTCGCAAAATCAGTTCTGAGTTTTTTTAAAATCACTTTCATGAAACAAAGTGAACAAACCACAGGCTCTCTGGATTTTGCCAAATTTGTTATTGTCAATGCAGAGAAAAAGCATTACGAGCTGCAGTCACTGATCGGCCGGGCGGGGATGTATTTTTTTAAACGGTAGACGCGTCCGCCTGCATGCGAAAATTGACCCTTCCCAATTTTTTTCAATTTTTTTGGAAAAGTAAAGTTGTACAAAAATGCTCTACTCTATTAAGAGTAACATGATTCAGAAAAAATTTGCTGTGGCTGGCACAGATACCATCCGTACACCTGCGCGTTCTATCCAAAGATTTTTAAGCTCTTCCTTTTTTGTCTAAGAATTTGTGTACCAAATTTGGTTCTAATCGGTTCAGCCGTAAATGAGAGTACAAACGGACCGACACTCTTAAATACTATTGTAAACGACTAAGGAGTTCACAATAAGTAACTTAAAACAACTGCTAATAAGGGAGATATTTCCCTGCGAAACTGATGCGCGCGCGGTTTTTGAGCTTGTTCACTAAGTATTTCAGTACGCAAGCCAACATGACGGGTCAAGAACTTGACCTTACCATTATCAAACATGTAATCAAAATACTCAACAAGTAATGAAAGTATTTGAAATTGTAATTGAAAGATTGAAAAAGGAATTAAAATGTTAAAAAGATAATTAAAATATTCACAATGTAATCAAAGTACTGGAAATGTATTTGAAGGTAATGAAAAGATTCAAAACATACTCAAAACGTAATTAAAGTATTGAAAAGGTAATCAAGTAACTAAAAATTCCAGGTGTAGGTACACCATATTTAAGGAGTTATTTGCCCCTCGTCAAAAACCGTACAATATGGAAAAATGATAAAATTCGACTCTTAACTTTGATTCTTTGTTTTGTTGATATTTTTAATACCTAATAAATGACATTAAAAAAATTCACATATTTCGCAATCCTTCAACCATCGGAGACATTGGAAATGATAACCGTATAACCTATGTCAGCTATGCCTACTGAAACAATGACGAGGATATCCTTCGAGGCCTGGATATCCTCTAAATCTGCCTACATCAAGCGTATTTCTTTGCATATCCATGGATAGTTGCGGCCCGGAAACCTTTGGATATTTTGTGGACAACTGAATGTCTACTGCGATTTTCCTCTCGATTAGGGACAATATTTTGACTTTTAATTTAAAATTCCGTGTAATTAATGTCAGTCGCCAATTAGTTTAACGTCGACATTGATTTAACAAAAGTAATTATTATGTGACTCTTATATAAGGGGCCTAAACAAACTTTCAAAATAAACCAAAGGAACAAAATGTTTCGTTTATTCTCAATTTTTGTTCGCTCGGTCCGAGTCACATAAAAGAATGATTTTAGGTTCGTTCATCTTCTAAATATGCACATGTCTGTGAAGTTGGCCTGGATAAAATAGCCCGGCAGCATCGCACCATGCTAGATCGTTAGTGCTTTGTTAGTGCTCGTTAGTGCCTCATAAGTTAACATAAGGGCTCAAACCGTTTTCTCAAATTTTTTTTGGTCGGGTCAACTTCACGTTTGCCCGGACAATGACTCCAATTTGCATCAAATTTTATAAATCGTTAGTACTTTAGAATTCAACGTTAGAACCCAAACCGCTTTCTTAAAATACATTTTCCTGTTGGGGACAAACTTCATTTTTGACGTAGCTCTTTTCACATTGACATGCAGCGCGATTCATCTATACGTACCATCACCGTTCCGTTACCGCACCGTCAACGAAACGTAAAATATTCTCGTTTACCAATTTTGACGGTCCGGACGGTGACGTAACTGTGTAGTCTATAGCTACTATATATACCACAACTGACTCGTCCACCATTTTGGAGCCCACTGACAATTGACGCTTGCAAAACACGTGCTTCTCATGACAGTAAGTTACCTTGGCAACATAACACAACATAACGATCAAACAACACAGCGTAATATCTTACAGACTGTCAGTGGGCTCCAAAA